CGCTCCCCTATACCCGCAAAACGTCAAACTTAAAAGTGGAATATATTATCAATAGGTTAAAGGAAATTAAAAATTTCATCGCCAAAACGTATTTAAATCACAACTTCTTATATTTATTGAAATTTTTAATATAGGTAAGTCGCTACTTAAAAATCAAAAATAGGTAGTGATTTTATCACCAAAAATAAGGGTGACGGAATATATCGATAATTTAAAATTCTAAAACCTCCCGTTTCTTTAATTTTCTATTAAACAAAATTCTTAGAGTGTTTTATGTTGTGTTGATCGCCTAACCATATTACAATAACAAAATATATTTTTCTGATTTATTAGTTTTTGTTCGTCGTTCAAGTAAAATGGAAAAATACAGCGAAAACATTACACAAATCATAAAAGCATCGCGTCGTTCGAGCGTGTCCGTAGTGTTATCATAGATATATTTTTTGGTATAGCACCCTCGCGACTGTGTGTATTGTAACAAAAAAAAAAAAGGAGTTGATACTGGGGACGGATACGGCTACTGGTATAGGGGGGGTAGTTGGGAAGATGAGATACATAAAGTTATTTAATTTATACTTGTAAAGTTGTAACCAACGATAAACTATTGTTAATGAAAAACTATTTGCAGCGAAGTTCGAATATATAAGTTTGAAAGGCCATAATATTTAGGATTATCTTCAACATTTGATTTTAAAACTCTTATATAAAAAAAAAAAAATATCGCATTATACTAAATTTTTTTTTTACTACTAAGTACGATTTGTAATGAACAACCTTTACAAGTTTTAAGCATTTCTGTTTATTCAAACAATTTTATACACAATGTGCCTACCAAATAAAAATAACGTAAAATTAAAATGCCAATAAAAAACTTAAAAATGGTTCAAATATTTTGAAAATTTTCCCATATCCAAAAAAATTATATATAATTTTTTTTTCAAAATTCTAAATTTCCATGATTATTTTTAACTGAATTATATTCAAAAAAACAAAATTTAAACTAATATAAGAATTATTTTCGTAAATTTTCTTGTATTTTTTACGTATTTATCGGTTTTGGTCAACTATTATAAAACTGCAAAGAAAATAAAAAAACTATTTTCTTAATCACCAACAAGATTAAAACTTCAACAAAAAAGATTTCTTATTATTTTTCTATTGAAGCAATGATTATGGTAGATAACATAAGCCGTACAAATTTTAAATAATGAAATCGTAGCGCCGTATTTTTGAAAAAAATCGTATTTATCGTCTTTTTTAGTTTTTTCCAATTAGTTACTATGTAAAAATACTTAAGATATCAAAAACTTTAATACAGTAACTAGATTCAAAATCAAACGAAAATAATTTCTTGTAATTTTTGATCAAACAAGATTTCTGATAGAAAAGTTGCCAAACATAAATAAAAACAAAATAATTATAATATTAATAAAAAATAAAAAACTACACATTAAAGTAAAGTCAGTATATTTATCGTTACGCGCAGAATCTAAAAATGTTTTATTTCACATACAGGTGTAATAACATTTTTTTATAGACGCACCCTAATATTCATGAATGATTTGGGATGCATTCGGAAGATCCCCTAAAAAACTATACATCTTGCACTATAATATAAATCTTCAATGAAACCAAAGGATACATCTAAATATCGTAAATCCCGTATCATTCACGGCATTGAAAATTAATTTTTATACACAATATATTTTAATGATATTAATTTTATAAAAAAAAAGATTTATTCACATGAAATTCGTTTAAAGCTGATCGAATCGGTTTAATTTTTAAAACCCCAAAACGTTATTAGTAACCAAATGGAGAGTTATTTTACAGTTTGTATTATGTATAATATTTATTAAAATATATTTATGATAAAATCCTTTCTATATATGTATATAACGAGCGATCTCAACCATTGCTGCGAAAAATTAAAACTCAAATTATATTACTTACCTACTTCGATGATTGTCATCGACAAAATACATTTTAAAAGGTTATTTATAAATCCTTAAAATGACGAGAAGAAATAACTTCATCGGACCGCATCAAGAGTTTGGTTCTACGCTGTCAATTAAATTTAGAGTACCTATGCCCTATATTATATTACACTTTAATAGAAAATGCGTCAATTTAGTTATCGAATTATTAAGTAAACCGATATTCATAATTAATATGAAACAATAATAAAGTACCTCTGCATAGAAATTTTATCTTGCGAAATATAAAACACAATGTTTAAAATAATAAACAAAAAAATGAGCTGATACTATGGACGGGTGTGCTTACTATTGTTGGAGAAAAGTTGGGAAGATAGGCAGTAGAGAGAAATTGAATGTACATGTGTACGCAACGATTAATCATTACTAACGAAAAATGATTCTGAACGGAGTTCGGTTTTACATGTTTTGAAAGGTTGTAATATTTTCATCAAAATTTGATTTTAAAACTCTTATAAAAAACATTAAACTTCAATGAAAATGAATAAACGATTTTCGTAATCATCAACAAGATGAAAAATTCAACGAAAAAATTGTCTTGTTGTTTTTCTATTAGAGCATTATTTATGATAGAAAATATAAGCCGTATAAATTTTAAGTAATGAAATCGTTGCGCCGTAATTTGAACAAAACAAATAAAAATAATTAAACAGGGTACCAAGTTGCGTTTGTAAAAACTGTATAACATTTAAATAAATTGTATCACCTCTCTTCTCTTCGCATCTTTCTCATTCACAAAATAAAAAAAAATAGGCGACGTTGGAACACTTGGGGAAATATTTGGAAAACTGTTAAAAAAAATCGTAAAAATGTTTAATAGTGTCGTTAGAAACTCGGTAGTTACAAAAGGTCTGTTATTTTATATTGTATTATACAAGGATATAATATATAATATTATGTTATATTAAATTACGATTCAAATTATTTATTCACATCACTCCAGGTCCCAGCCGTGTTTTATACTTCATATTACATCAATAATTATAGGTATAATATTAATGCAATATTCTGAGAATATCACTTCCAAAATACGATTTATTTAGTGATAAGTTAATTATAGTATGGAGGGATACATGAAATCTCGCACTGTCATAGTATAGTGGGTGTACAGTGTACGTACCCAACTATTCGTTGATACCGCTCTGTAACGACTGACAGTTCGGAATTAGGGGCCGATATTTTTCTACAGCGTTGCTTATAATATGTCTATTATAAAACCAATGGATCCCTAGCTTCAATCAGAATCTAAAAGCCTACTCGGTATACCGATTTTAATTGTATACATTAACACACACAGATTATCCGCAGTAATTGGAAAATCAATTAAAATCGCATAAAATCTATATATATATATACATAAAATCTAGAAATTGCAAGTAATAAATACTACATTTACTTATTATAAAATAATAAATTATGAAATAAACGATAAAACATAACGAATATTTTGTATTTAAATTTCCTCTTGAACAGGAAACACAATAAAATACAGTTAACCCAACAGAACTAACCAAAGGCGTATAATACATTATTCAAATAAATTTTAATTATGTAAACTTTAATGGAAATCTAACTAAGTTACATATTTTAGACTCGCATACATTGTATTGTTGTTATATCCAAATTCCAAACTATTTGTACCTATTATTATACAATTAAAGTAAAAACGGTAAAGCTGGAAACAGATTATTGTCACGCCATATCATCTTATGTGCTTTCATATGTCATCATATTACTGAAAAAATACGATATAGATTTTAATAGTATTTCAATGTATAAGATATTCAGAACCGTCCTAATATCACTTCAGTGCTTCACGTGTGTCACGTCAAATTTCCTATACCTCACGCGTGAGAGCACGTTTTGATTTTCCAACATCACATACATTCGACTCATGTACCCTCGTGAATTTTATCGTCAGTAAAAAAATAGAATCAGGAATTAGACGACGGAATTCATCAAATTGTTCACCCCTCTTTTTTAAATTCCGAACGTAGCGAGGGAGCTACTGATTTTCCTAAGGTGTTTATTTTTTTTTTCTAATCTGTGGACAGGTTTTTCCAAGTAAACTTGCTTCGATGTATAAGTGTAGCACCTTTTCTGAAAGCTCAAGTTATCTAAATGGTACTTTAAACAAGTCATTTTTTGATTTTCGACGTCATTTTTTATATAAAAGCATTTTTCCCCTTAAGTGAGAAAAAACGTAGGAAAACGTACAGTTTCACGATTTCATTATTTTATTAAAACACGGACGACGTTTTCTACCAGAAAAATGATTGATGAACATGGTAAAATTTTTAAAATAATCCGACGACTTTTTTTTTTAAGCGTTTTGTAATCAAATTTAAACAAAAATCGTAAAAATTATGTATTACCGAATTGCGCTTGGAATCGTCCAACAGTGGCCGCTCCCATCCTCAGTATCAGCTTTTTTTTATTTTGTTCATCCAAAACTTCAAAAACAACTCAAATTTCTAGTTTCTCATTCCATGTTTATTAAATAAGTATCTATCGTAAATCACAATTATTTGCAATAACCCCATAATATCCCATATAATGAACATTATTTTATACATTTTTTTTCATTACATAAAACAGATAAAATAATATAATTACCGAATAATCAACTATTATAACACATTTGTATAATAAAACATAACGACGCAATAGAAAACTTTTCGTATTATAACTAAATGCGTTTTTATTTTCCAAAACATAATGTTATAAATTTACTATTCATCATTTAAGTTTTTATCGTTAAGTTAGAAAAACCGAGAACTAAAATTGTATACCATATAATACGAATACGAATATGTATAAATAGAATAAAGAATATGTAAGTATAGATATACCTACCGAAATTTATTACAAACCAAACGCTATTAGCAAGTATTATATAGTAAAAATCACAACAACACTACAACTTTAATGATTCGGACATGTTTTTATGCGGTACCCAGAAATGTATATTCTTCTTTTTTTTAGGCAAATCGGCCACTAAGACTATCCCGAAAGACAGCCTTGCCTCCAATTGTCTATATCTGATGCTTGTGTCCTCCATGCTAATGTATAACTTCTTTCTAACGCTTCTACAACATTCCTTACTACGTTTTTCCATCTCAGACATGATCTTCCTAGCGATCTTTTGCCAGTAAGATTTTCTTCTAGCACTATGCGTAAAAGTGAATTTTGGCTACGCCAAGCATGCTCCGCCCATTTTAATCTCTTCTTTCTTACCATTTTCAGTATATTGGTTTTATGAAAGAGTGTTCTTAATTCATAGTTTATCCTCCACTCATCACTTAGCTTATCCTTTACAAGATCAAAAATCTTTCACAGTATTTTTCTTATCAGAATTAAGAGTTTTCTATCATCACTTTTTCTTAATGGCTATTACCTCAGCTTCATAGTAATTATAGTTCGTATTGATGTGATGTACAATTTTATTTTCAAATCTTTCGAAAGTGATTGTGATACCGGTAATTTTGCAAGACCATAAAGGAATTTATTTCCTGGCTGAATTCTTGCCTCTATCTCTTTTTTGATTTAATTTCTCTCTAAAAGTATTGAACCTAGTAAATTTGAATTGTTTTTTCTTTTGAAATTTCGGTTATTGACATTAGGAGTTGGAGATATTCTCATGGTGTCTCGTCTCCCTGCGACCATGTACTTCATTTTGTCCTCATTAATATTCAGTCCAACTTTAAGTACTACATTTTCCAGTTGATATGACAAAGATCTTAAACCGTCTTGTGATTTCTTTATGATCACCAAATCATCTGCATAAGCCAGCAATTGAAATTTAACTCTTTCTTGTGGTGTAATATTCATCTCTCTTATTACTTTTTTTATTACTATTTTGAATTAGATTGGTTACATATTAACTCCCTAACTAAATCCAACTTAACAAATATTCAATCCTATATTAGGATCTATAGTTCTATTTCCTACTTTAATTTTCACAAATGTTTCTAAAATACTTATCTTAACCAGTTTTACGAGCTTGTCCTCGAAATAGAACTCTCTCATGATACTGGTTAGACTCTCTCTATGTATAATATCATGAGCCTTCTTAAAATCTATAAAATGTCTGATATATTTATCTGAAAATATAGTCTACTATAATATAAAAATATACAAATAAAGACTACTACAATTAATAATTTAGTGCAAAACAGTTGGTAGTAGAAGCTGTGAAAGACCTCAAATCTCCTGGATGGACAACTTCAGAAGGTGGTTTACCAAATCTGAGAGTTCAGTACTCAGAGTAGCCAAAAAGTTCGAATTGCTAACATGATCGTCAACGTTAAATAACGAATATGACACTACAAAAAGAGGAATATGTTATTATATAATAAAAACGATTGATAATACTTTTAAAAAAACCAAAATATAATATTTCTTAAATATTTTATTTGAATAGATATATATATATATATATATATATAAAAAAAAATCTCTCATTGTTTTAATTAAATTAATGCGCAATTAAATAATGAAAGAAAATATTATTGAAAATGGAATACAAAAGTAGAAACTGCTAAAAAAAAAATAAAACAAATAATAATGGGAAATATTTAAGTTTGCCAAATGTCAATTAGAAAAAAAAAATACAATAGCTAAGAACGTTTTCAGTGTATATAAAATCATTTTCCTTTTGATTATTAGAATAATACAATTTTTTTTTCTTTAGAACCAAAGTGTATTTCATCAAGATATTTTTTTACTGTCTGGGTTGATGAGGTATCTGCTGGTGATCTAGTGTTAAGGACATAAAAAACGTTACACAAGAATGGCTTTAAAACTCTGACATTGACGGTGAAATATCTGAAATAGATATTTCAAAATCTTCATATGTAGAGACTTCAAGAAATGACCTAACAAAATTGAAGTATATTTACTAACCGAAAAAGTTTTTGCCGTGGAACAAAAACATATCGAAGTAAAATTAAAAGTTTCTTCACTAAACTCAGAATCTAACATATTTAAAATCGTCTAGTCTAAGATCGAAAAAAAATATTTCATAGGTGAACTAATTATTATATGTGATGACGAAAGTGCATTATTATTATCCACCTTAATTATTTATTGAGTTAATTAGATTGCGTATAGGGATAATAATATGACATTAGAGCGGAAGGTGATACGAGCAACTATAAAATTGATTTATGTAAGGAGGTCAGGGCCATCAATTTATCCGTTTAATGTGTGTATGGCTTAGTTAGAAAATAAATTACAATTCATTTGCTTACGTCAAGTTTTACCAAAAAATGTAAATAAAAGTGTTGTTTAAATAATAATTTATTGGTTTTTATGGCCTTATATAATGTTATGTTACAGTTTTGAGAGCAGGAGAATGATAGACATAACTCCATACCTGCTATAATGTGAAAACTTATAATTTGAAAGATTCTATGTAGTCAACCTGCGGCCAGTGGAACTGATCTCAGGGTGTTAGTGAACTAAGTCCACCAACACTTTTTCTCGAGGGAATAGATGGATTAATAAGTTGGCAAAAGTACATGAACATTTCAACATTTTAAAGTAATTTAAAATCAAATACAGTTATTTTGTTGTTGAATTTTCCCTGAAAATAGAGTCTATTACACTTTATTGTATCTTCTATAATGTGCACTTACATTAATTATATAGTATATATTATTCATTAGGGTGGTCCGATTTCTCGGAACATCCATCTATCTATCTTGTTCCGTATAAAAAAAAAAATTTCTGAAAGTTTTAGGTCATTCTTATAATGTTTAGTGGAAGCGCAGGATTTTTTAATATTTAATAACAAAAGAATTGAATGAAATCAATAAAAATAGTGTACAAACTACAAACGACCACAAATCATTTCAGAGGCTATCAAATGGAAGAGAGGGGTAAGGAGGACATATCTCCCTCCCATTAAGTTATTTTTCTTAAACATTTATAATAATGTAAGGGGTATTGTTTTAGCATGGTCAGTATTCATCACATTTGTATGGTTAAATTATAGGTACATAAATTAAAATTCTGTTATTTGGATTTTTTAGATGTAGTGAAAAACGATATTTTCGAATATATCGATTTTTTACAACACTTAAAGATTATCCTATGATGATATCGAATTTGGTTTTTCAAATGACATCCTACATGTTTTAATGGAATTGGTCAGTCAGATAATCTTTCTGAAAATTATAACGTATATTTTTTCAAAATTTGAACGAAAAGTTATTCTGCTTTAAATACTAAAAATAATAACTGCACGATTCAAAATAAAAATGTATACATGAAACAGTTGGTATCTAATTCCTATTATCTTTAGTATTTAAATCAAAATAACTCAGTAACTTTTTGCTCAAATTACGTTTACAATATGTCAACATTTTCAAAAAATTCATCCGAATAATAATTTACATCAAAACATCTCATTTAAATAACCAAAGTTGTTATCGCTTCAGAATACTCCTTAAATTTTGTGAAAAATTTAACTATAAATTCAATGTTGTTCAATGTGCTTGAAAACTACAAAACTCATAATATTTTACTCTAGTAAGAGAACTCTACAGCTCATATCTATTTTTTAGTTTTTGTAGTGGGTGGGGATCTGTAAATTATATTTTATAGCCAATGAGTTTGGTTAGAGATAGACATAAACTGATAGTCTTAATAATATATTTGGTAATAAAGTGATCGATTTTAATTACTAATAACAAATAATAACGTTACAAGTTTATATATATATATATAATAATAATAATTATTATATTGTTTAACGATTTAAACAATAGTTTTAATTGTAATTAATTGAGTGACGAATAAATCTTGAGCTTAACATAACATTTTCTAAAACGACGAACAAAATAATTTTTAAAAGAAAAAACAAGAAATTTAATTTTAAGTTTTGTATTTGAAAAAAGTATAAAATATATTTTAAATTAGAAAATCGACGTAGTATAAAATGTTTTAATAATTAAACAGTAGACGTCCTAGTTAGAACGACAAAATTAGTTTTTAATTATTATATTGTCAATAGATTGTTATATGAAATCGTTAATAAACTGTAATGCGACTGTAGTATGATGACAGTTAAACGTGATAGTTACTATCATCACGGTAGCCGTTATCGTGGGAATTGTACTACACTATTACAGTATTCCACTATCATGATAGGTACTATCATATATTATTAAACCTCGATGAAAATTTTAGTTCTATCGTGATAATGATAATAACTGCCACACAAATAGGTACTATCATGGTGTGGAAAACATCGTTTATCTAATTCACTAATGTGATAACGGAAAATAAACCCCAAATCGAACAATTTGCTAAGTTTTAATCAATTTAAATTGTGTTAGAAAAATGTTTCCAAGATTAATAGCCAACTCAACACGTTTGAAAAACGTCTTTAATAATAATAATTTAATACTATATTATAATTATGGTACATGCTATCACGTCTAAAATTATAGTGTGAATACATTATGATAGTGATAGATTGTTGCAATAGCAATCTTACTTTCGTGACAACAACTATCACGTTTAACTTAGCTTAATATTATGTTCGTATTCGAGAAGAAAGCACCTAAGTAAACCGTCTGCAATCATAATATTCTAAAACTCCTTGGAAACAACAAAAATAGGAATTGGTTTTCACTCATTAAAGAATATTCATTATGTGAATTGATATTATAATTAATTGCACAATTTTTACAGTTTTCCACTCATTCGTTTTTATAGTATAATATTACTGTAAAACGGAAAAAATCATCGTTTTTACGGTTAATTAATAATCAACTAAATTTGTATAGGTAGTAGGTGCATAGATTAAGTGAAAATGCTGACTTATTAAAAAAATAAATAAACAAAAGTTAAAAAAGAAAAACCACGATATTTAAATCAATTGTACACGAAATCAATACCATATACCACGGAATACTTGAACATACTGTTTGGTTGCGATAGAACGTACTTAGTGGTACCTTCAATAAAATAATATACTGCAAATTATAATTGTGTTGTGTAGCGTTGGCAGGTACATACTAAAAGCGAAATACAACACAATAAACTGCACTCAAAGGAGACATAATAATATATTATTGAACGGACTGAAAAAATATTTACTCTCTTTTTCTTCTTTTTAATTAATTACTGGCGTTAATTGCGATGAGTTCGAAACGTAAATGTTTACAAAATTCTATGTTTACATTGTATTATTGTACTTGACTGTTTATTTGTTTTTCATCAGTGTGCATGTGGGGAAAAAATTTTGACCTATGATTGGAGTACAGTTTAGTTCAAGTTACCAAGCTAATAAACTTCAAAAAAACAAAAAAATAAAAAATACTTAGAAAAAAACTACACATTAGGTACCTACATTTTGTTGCGGTAACTAATCGAATAGAAACAAAGCTTGTATACTTACATCTCCTAACCTCTCACCTGTACAATAATAATAATATTATTTCAGATAAAAATACAAATTATAAATGAAATTAAATATCACTCAAAAATAAATTAACAGACAATATAAATGTTGTAATAAAACGAGTACTCATTTTAATGATTATTTTTTGTTTTTTTGCTCGAATTCTGGAGCAAATATTGTTTTATAGGTATCTTTACAAACGAAAGCTAAACCAGTTAAGGGCATTTATTTTCTCTTTTGGAATATTATAAATTTAAAAACTTAAGCAAAAACTAAATTATTTTTACAAAAATTAGATTTATTCAGAATAAACGATGTAGTATTAACATTCTAGATTAACATGATAATATTTTATATAATGGCGTGATGAACGTGATTTCAAACGAAATTCACAATTACATAATAAATACTGTAATTC